GCTTCCATTTTTGAGCTATTGTGAATAATGCTGCTTGAACATCCGTGTGTCAGTTTTTGTGTGAATATATTTTAAATGCTTTTGGGGTCATACTTAAAAGTGGAATTGCTGAGTTATATGATAACTACGTTTAATTTTTTTGAGAAATTGCCAAGTGGTTTTCCAAAGCAATAGGACCATTATACATTCCCAGCCGTGTATGAGAGTCCAATTGCCTAGCATTTTTGCCAACACTTGTTACTATCTGACTTATATTATATCCATCCCAGTAAGTGTGGAGAGGTATCTTACTGTGGTTTTGATTTGTATTTCCCTGATGGCTAATGATGTTGAATGTCTTTCATGAGTTTATTGGCCATTTGTATATCTTCTTTGGAGAAATGTCTGTTCAAGTCTTTTATTGGATTATTTGTCTTTTTATTATTGAATTGTAAGAATTATTTTTTAAGATTTTATTTATTTATTTTTAGAGATAGGGAAAGGGAGGGAGAAAGAGAAGGAGAGAAATATCCATTGGTTGCCTCCTACACACGCCCTAACTGGGAACTGAACCTACAACCCAAGCATGTACCCTTACCGGGAATTGAACCAGCAACCTTTTGCTTTGCAGGACATCACCCAGCTAACTGAGTCACACCAGTCAGGGCTAAATTGCAAGAATTCTTTAAGTACCTGAATGTAGAACGTTATCAGATACATAATTTGGAAATATTTTCCCCCTCTGTGGGATGTTTTACTTTCTTGATCATTTGCAGCACAAAAATTGTTAATTTTTGACATAGTCCAACTTAGCTTTTGGTGCTTATGCTTTTGATAACATCTCAGCCATTGTGTAATCCAGTGTCAAGAAAATTTTCCCATTTTCTTTTCCTTTTTTAAAATATATTTTATTGATTGTGTGATTACAGTTGTCCCATTGCCACCCCCTTCACTCCCCTCCACCCTGCACACACTCTCCCACCCACATTCCTCCCCCTTTAGTTCATATCCATGTGTCATACATATAAGTTGTTTGGTTTCTACATTTCCCATACTATTCTTACGCTCCCCTTGTCTATTTTCTACCTACCATCTATGCTACTTATTTTCTGTACCTTTTTCCCCCTCTCTCCTCCTCCCACTCCCCTGTTGCTAACCCTCCATGTGATCTCCATTTCTATGGTTCTGTCCCTGTTCTAGTTGTTTGCTTAGTTTGCTTTTGTTTGTGTTTTAGGTGTGGTTGTTAATAACTGTGAGTTTACTGTCATTTTACTATACATGTTTTTTATCTTCTTTTCCTTAGATAAGTCCCTTTAGCATTTCATATAATAAGGGCTTGGTGATGATGAACTCCTTGAACTTGACCTTATCTGAGAATCACTGTTATCTGCCCTTCCATTCTAAATGAAAGCTTTGATGGATAGAGCAATCTTGGATGTAGGTCCTTGCCTTTCATGACTTGGAATACTTCTTTCTAGCTCCTTCTTGCCTGTAAGGTCTCTTTTGAGAAATCAGCTGACAGTCTGATGGGAACTCCTTTGTAGGTTACTGCCTCCTTATCTCTTGCTGCTTCTAGGATTCTCTCCTTCATCTTAATCTTGGGTGATGTAATTATGATGTGCCTTGGTGTGTTCCTCCTTGGGTTCAACTTCTTTGGGACTCTCTGAGCTCCCTGGACTTCCTCGAAATCTGTTTCCTTTGCCAAATTGGGGAAGTTCACCTTCATTATTTATTCAAATAAGTTTTCCACTTGTTGCTCTTCCTCTTCCCCCTTCTGGCACCCCTATAATTCAGGTGTTGGAAGGTTTCAAGATGTCCTGGAGGTTCCTAAGCCTCTCCTCATTTTTTTAAATTCTTGTTTCTTCATTCTTTTCTGATTGGATGTTTTTTTCTTCCTTCTGGTCCACTCCTTTGATTTGAGTCCCAGTTTTCTTCCCATCACTATTGGTTCCCTGTGCATTTTCCTTTATTTCACTTAGCATGGCCTTCATTTTTTCATCTAATTTGTGACCAAATTCAACCAGTTCTGTGAGCATCCTGATTACCAGTGTTTTGAACTGTGCATTTGTTAGGTTGGCTATCTCTTTGTCACTCAGTTATATTTTTTCTGGAGCTTTGATCTGTTCTTTTATTTGGGCCTTATTGTTTGTCTTGGCACACCTGTTACATAGTAAGGGGAGGAGCCTTAGGTTTTCACTAGGGCAGGGCAACCCCTCCCCCCCAGTTATGAGGCTGTATGTGGGGGAGGGGTCCGAGAGAGAACAGTGGTGCTTGCTCCACTCTCTGCTGGATTTCAGTCACTTCCCCCACTTCCCCCAAGCAAACTGGGCCCTTCTGGTGCTGATTCCCATGCGGTGGGTTTGTGTAGGTTCTAGGACCCTGTGGGTCTGTCCAAGAAACTCTCCTGTGAGGTTGGGAGTTTCTCACAGGAACTGTTGGCACTTCAACTCCCACAAGGGTTTTCAATTGGTGTTTTGAGTGTTTATTTCCTGACGCTGGGACCCTAGGTTGCGTGGTCTGTCTTGATCCCCAGTGTCACCCAGTTTATCTGCGCACGAATGTGGGTCCACCAGGTCTGCCAGCTGCCTTGTGTGCCGGCCCCTCCACAGTCCAACGCCTCATGCACCTGTCTGCCTGTTCACCAGCCACCGAGTTGCTAGCCCTCCCCACCCGGATGCCTGACTCCGCCCCTCCTACTGGTCTGGATGAATGTTTCTTCTTTAATTCCTTGGTTGTGGGACTTCCATAGAGTTCAATTTTTTGTCAGTACTGGTTGTTTTTTGTTTTTAAATTTTTGTTGTCCTTATTTTGATTGTGGGAGGAGGCACAGTATGTCTACCTCTGCCTCCATCTTGGCCGGAAGTCTGAAAATTTCCCCATTTTCATCTAAGAGTTTTATAGTTTTACCTTTTAAGTTCAGGCCTTTGATATTTTGAGTTAATTTTTATGTAAGGTAGAAGGAAGGGTCCAGCTTTATTCATTTGCATGTGGGTATCAAATTGTCCCAGCAGCGTTTATTGAAAATACACATTTTTTAATAGAGTTTATGCCATGCTTTTATATAAACCTTGAAATGGAGGTGTATATGGCCTTTAAAAAAGTTTGAACAAGAGCACACAGTCTGGGGAAAGGATGTGTCCCCTTTCGTGCGTGGTGTTCCTCCTGCCCTCCCCCAGGTCCTCAAAGTCTAGATGACCTGCCCTGAGAAGTCTGAGTCCGATTAAACAGCGTTCGTGAAAAGCTCTGTAGGTGAGTCTAATGTGGAGTCATGCTTCAGAACTAGTGAGCTAACAGGTTTTATAGTCACTAAGAGGACCAAACAGGAGTCCTTAGGAGGTGCTGCTGGAAGAGAGAGATGCTGAAGTGTCCTGCCTTGTGGCCTTCAGGCCTCCTTGTCTCTGCTGGACCTACGTGACTGTTGTCCTCTGCTCTGCAGGTGGTGGCATCTCCTTACTGAAAAGCAGAGTTGTACCATACCAGTGGTTTTAGAGATTAGATGCCCTTTGAGGAGGAAGTATGTGAAATAATAGGACTTACTGCATTAAAAAGAAAATAGAAGAGAGCATAAATCCCAAGCACTCTTTTTCCTACTGTAAGTCAAGAAAAATAATGTTCTGTAACAAAAGCACTTTTTTAAAAGAACTAAATTCATTTTACAAGTGATTCAGAGAGAATTTTTGCCATTTTGCCCTTGATTCTATAGACACCTTGAAACTATTTGTCTTTAAAATAACTATGAGACTGAATTGGATCTTGAAATTAGTTATAGATTTTTGGTCTTTTAAGTATGTAAAATACAAATGAAATGCCCTTTATCATCTAAAATTGTATTTGTGGAAAAGCATGAGGACTGCAGCCTGCAAGGTCTGAAGAGCTCCCGTGCCGTGGGGTTTGTGTTCCTGAAATCCTTGCTCTGCCAGGAGCAAAGCAAACCAGCACCTTCCTCAGAGTAAACTTTGCCTTCAGTGATCACTTCCTCCTCTTGTGTTGCTAAAAGGTCTGTTGAGGAGAAAATTCTGAGATGTTCTAAATTAAATTACAGGGCCCAAGCCTGAGAGTAAAATTCTGAGAGACAGAATTATTAGTCTGTTAATGCCTGGGGGTTGCTAACAAAAGACTGTTCACACTTTTTTCAATGCCTGTTGGAACTTCAATTAATTTCTAGGTGGCTATTTGCTGGATTACTTTAGCCAGGCACGTGAAACTCCAGGAGCCCCTCCTTGTTGTTTTCAGACTGCTGCCGCAGCCAGTCTGCAGGGCACTTCTCTGCCACGGTCCCAGAGTTGGCTCCGCTTCCCCCTCTCCTATCCCTTTGCCCATAGCTAATGTCAATTTTTTTCACAGTGCCTCTTCTTTCTTTGCCATCGGTCTATGTATAAAAAATGCTTGCAGAACTCTGGGACGATGAGCATGTTGTCTTTTCTACCTGTCCATGCTGCTGGTGGTTTAACGTCCATGCACCGAGACTGGCATCTTCTTTTTGGCTGGCATTTTAGTCTCAATAAAACCTTACTTACGAAAAGACTTTTGGCCTTGGAAGTTAATTTTTTTTTTTTGTTTGTTTGTTTCATGGGTCTCTCTGGTATAAATGGAAGGAAATAATTGATTGACAACATTCTCTGTATTCTATTTCTTTTTATTTTAAGAAATCACCAATAGCACATCTTTTGTGATAAGTTTCAGAAATCATTTGAGATGGCTGTTTCACAGCGCTGTTGGACATTTATTGTGCTGGAGGCCAGTGCTCCTCAAAGTGTCTGAGTCCCAGTGCTGGTCTGTAAACCGTTTGTTACCAGGTTACACTTAAGTCACACCTAAAAACTCATGTAGCACCTTGAGATTGTCTTACATATTCTTCATGTTTTATAAAAGTACTGGCCTGCAGTGGATTGGGAAAGCACAAAACTGTTCTTCCACACGGATGGTCAGGAAGCATTGTTTGAAAGCAAGTAGCTTTGAAAAGAAAGTACTTTAAAGAAACCATCTTTCCTCTCCATTTGTTTTCTCTCTCTCTCTCTCAGGGATTTTGCATTGGAAGACATGGATCTTGCTGCCAATGAGATCAGCATTTATGACAAACTTTCAGAGACTGTTGATTTTGTGAGACAGACAGGCCATCAATGTGGCATGTCAGAAAAGGCAATTGAAAAATTTATCAGACAGCTATTGGAAAAGAATGAACCTCAAAGAACGCCACCCCAGTACCCTCTCCTTATAGCTATGTATAAGGTAAAAATGTGTTCTGACTTGGAAAAGCTTAGATGGGGCACAGACTCCTCAACTTTCTCCCCAAATGCTACTGTGACTGAGTCCACCATTGCACCTTGGACTTTCTATGAATAAATTGGCCTTCACTCTTGTTACCATGTGTTACTAGGAAGTTTGACTATTTTGTTAAATGTCCTAGATGAAAGCTGTGTATTTATAGTTAAACTCTATTTGTATATGTTTTTAATGGTGTATATACCACCCGGTTATGGTGTGCATACCACCCGGTGGTGAGCCTTGCAGTCCTCATGGTTCTCAAACTTTAAATGCTTTCAGAAGTGAATATAAATGGCTTGTTGAAGAAAATGGACTAATTCTTAAAGCACATTGGACATAGCAGAAGAGGGCTGTTATTTTCTTGGCATTAAGTATTTTGTTTGCTGGGACAAGTACTAATCCTTTTCCTGTCTTTCCTTGTAGGTCATCGGAACCCTGGGATTAATCTTGCTCACTGCCTACTTTATGATTCAACTTTTCAGCCCATTGCCACCAGAACCGGTGCTTTCTGGAGCTCACACCTGGCGCTCACTCATCCGTCATATCCGGCTAATGTCCTTGCCCATTACCAAGAAGTATATGTTAGAGAATAACGGAGTTCCTCTGCATGGTCACAGTGAAGACAGGTCCTTTCCAGGTAGATGCTGCATTACTACTTAAGAGATACAGCCTTCTTGACAATACTGTATAAGATGGGAAAGGAAATAACATTTATGGACATCTGATGAGAGGTACTTTTCCTATATTGTTTCATTTAATTTCAGTCCTTACTAAACTCCGGGATAGGTTTTATTTTCTTCATTTTGCATATCGAGAAACTAAGGCTCAGAGAGATTAAGAAACTTGTCCGAAGAACATATCTGATGGGCCAAATTCAAACCTTGAATCCAAAACACACGTGGTGGGGATGAGTGTTTTATTCATAGGAAGGATTTGAATGTATCTTTTCTATCTTTTTTCTTTCCTGTGATCCCATTCCATAATAGACACTTTGATAAGTAGCTGTTGATTTATGGGAAGCACCCAAGTTCAGCTCGCTTTTAATCAGATCCCCGGACAGGATGTAGCCTGTTGGGCTGGGTTTTTGTCTGGGTCTCTCTCGCTCTTTCAATGCAGTCTTTTCTCTCTGCCTCACAGTGTACTTATTTAGTGCTCCTAAATGTACAATTATGCCAATAAGTTGAATTTAAGAAACATTTATATTTGGTAACATTGCATCAATGACAGCATAGGAATTCCTCGTCTCGCAGACCCTTTGAAGAGGTTCCTTTGAGAATGGTGCAACATGTGGTCAGACTTAAATTTTACTTTTTTGAGAAAGATTAGAAGGTATTAGGGAATTTTACTTTTTTTGGTGGTCTTAATGTTATTTGCCCATATGAAGGAATGTGTAAATTAACATCACAGATGGTTATGAACCTTTCGTGTAACTGTGAAACCTTGAGAACCAGCATCATAACTGTTTAGGAAATATGTGTTCTCGTCAGAAAACATATTTGTTATCTTCAGAAAGAATGTACTAGTTGAAGCTAACCTTTATACTCATAATCAAAGACCTAATCTGTCATAAAAATCATCACTTGGCTGGGGTCTCCTTTGAAGACTTTTGTTGTACACTTAAGGAAATCATGGAAAGATTTCCAAAGTTATATCAAAATCAGAGGAAGGAAACATCGTAAATCAAACAGTCACCTGGTGAGTTTTTGTTTTTAATTAGAGTTTTTAATTCCAAATATAACTAACTTCCTGTATTAATTGGGAAAGTTATTTTTGAAAGTTCATCAACAAAGCTCAAAAAATGAAGTTTCCAGTTCCTATCCGGAAGGTCCGGAGCACGTGGGGGAAAGAGCCCGAGTAGCCCCTCGGTCGGCCCGCCTGTGCGCCTGTGCGCCTGTGCGCCTGTGCGCCTGTGCGCCTGTGCGCCTGTGCGCCTGTGCGCCTGTGCGCCTGTGCGCCTGTGCGCCTGTGCGCCTGTGCGCCTGTGCGCCTGTGCGCCTGTGCGCCTGTGCGCCTGTGCGCCTGTGCGCCTGTGCGCCTGTGCGCGGCCTCCGACGGCCCTGGCTCCTTTCCTTCTTCCTCTCTCGGCTCCTGAAAGGCACCTTCTGCGCTGTGGCACATCAGAGGACATCAGTGACTTTTAAGGCCAGCTCGATAGTGGCACTCACTTTGTTTTCCCCTGCCCTATAAAGTAAATCTTCATAGGCTGCTGAGTTAAGAAATAATGAGTTTGACCAAAAAGTGTGTTTGTTTGTTTCCCCCATAAGATGGCTCTCGTAGCGCTTAGTTGTTTTTAACTTCATTTGAAACAATTTTGTTAGATTGTACTGTGACAGCTGTCATATCAGAGTGTATTTAAAAGAAAAAACCAAATTGGTGAACTTTTTATGTAGCAATTATAATATTGAAGATGGAAGAAAATAAGCAGTTTTCAGCATATTATGCTTTACTATTTCAAGAAAGTTAAAAACACAACTGAAATGCAAAGAAAGATTTGTGCGGTGTATGGAGAAGGTGCTGTGACTGATTGAACGTGTCAAAAGTGGTTTGCAGTGTTTTGTGCTGGAAATTTCTCACTGGGTAATGCTCCATGGTCATATAGAGCATGGAATTGAGTTAAAGTTGAAGCTGATAGCAATCAAATTGAGACATTACTTGAAAATAATTGTTATACCGTATGGGAGATAGCCAACCAAATCAGTCAAATTATTGGTGAAAATGAAAATTGTGTCTTTTATTTTACAGAAAAAACCACATGGAGTTTTTGGCCAACCCAATAATAAAATGGACATGATTGCTCATTTTTTAAAATGGAGTTTAAAAATTCAAGGAATGTTAGTGTCTTGTCAACAAGCCTGATTTTTTGGTCCATTCCAAATAAATATTTTGCCTTGCAGATGGAAATAAAATGATTCCTTGGAGCTCAGTTATAAAGAGAGAACATTGGAAGGGTGTGGTTTTAGCTCTTAACTGTTTTTTATTCTATTCAAGGACTGCTTTCTTTTATTTGTAATGTGAACATTGACACCCCTTATTTTCCTATGTGTGATAATTCTGGGAAGCTATAGACATTTAAAGGTCACAGGATTTGCATAACATTTGGAAAGAAACTTAAGAACCCATCATGATATAAGGAATAAAAAGAAGTATATTGGGGAGAATTAGTTTAAGAGGGCCAGGAAAGTAAAAAAATTAAACTGTCATTCCTAATGCCATGGAACCAAAAAATGTCTGCCCTTCAGTTTGCATTACTTCGCAGTGATGGTAGAACCGAGTGCTGTGACAGTCAGCTCCCAAAGGAAAGCCCTGGGCTGCCTTCTTTCCTTCAGGGCTGGCCTGTCTCGTGTTCTCCGGGGTCATCTGACCCTCCTTGTAGTGGCATTTTGGGAATGGTGGTGGGGCAGCAGGAGCAGTGACGATGTACCGGAGGCACCACCAGCAAAGGTGTTAGGTGGGTAGTTTCCCGTCTTGACTCTACCCAGGGAACAGAAGGCAACAGAAATGAGGTTGTTTCTCTAGGTTTCAGCCATGGGCAGGAAACCCTGCCCTGAATCCTGTTGATGAGCATGAAGTGACACCTGTAGTGAGTCATGTAAACATCCCTCTTTGCAGCAGGAATAAACAAGATGACACTTACTTAGTACTTACCAGATGCCAGGCCCTGTTCAGAGGGCTTTCCACGTACCAGTTAATCTTTACAATATCCCTATGAGGTAGGTTTTTGTTTTATGCCTGTTTTACAGACTAAGACACTGAAGTACACTGAGATTAGGTCAATTGCCCCGGGCCCCAAGGCAAGTTAAGTCATGGAACCATGATTTGAACTCAGGCAGCCCGTCTTCAGAGTTTGAGCGCTTAACCCTTGATGTGAATAGTCTATAGCTACACCGTACCCGAAGAGAAAGAGTTGAGTTTGAGTCAGCAGTTCTGCACTCTCTCCTTCTTAGGTCTCCAGACGCTCTCTCTCAGCTCCCTAGACCCTGAAGAAAAGGTTCTTTCTGGCTGGTGCTACAAATCCAAAGATAAGCAATCCTCCAAGCTATTGAGCCTTTAGAATTTTCCTGAATTAGTCTTTTCCTAGGCATTCAGCCCAGCTTATCTTCCTCCCTGTCTGCACCACCACAGGTAAAGTTTGACTTTCTGTTTGACTTAATCCTTTCACTCACCCATAGTTTTCCCCTCATATTCTTAGTCCGCCCCCCACACACATACTTTATACTTTATGTCCACTTTGACCCTTCAGCAGCCATTCTCTTGGCTTTCACTTTTCCATAGAATCACTGAGTCTTAGAGCTAAAAAGAAACCAACCTATTACATACCCCAACTCTATAAAGAGGACATTGAGGCCAGAAGAGGTGAAGTCACTTGCTTACCCAGCTAAAAGTGGCAAACTAGCACTTGAACTTTAGTTTCTTACCTCTAATGCCGCATTCTTTACATCACACCACACTTTACTGCCTGCTGTCTCCACCCTCAGCCAAGCCAGATTTCAGCCTGTTAGGCTTGATTATTTTGTTTACTTCGGGCATTTACAATTTTTAATTATAAGACCATTAATACTGAGGAGGCCTGGGATAGTGCTCACGTACCAGGAAAAGGTGCATTTCTGTATCTGCACTGCATTATTGGAATTTTGTGCACCCATGAACTTCCAAGGGAAGGTTGAAACACTGAGGAGCGTTGGGAGTAGCGGATCACTTACTGACTTAGAACTCAGGACCTGATCAGACTGAGCGTCTGGGCCAGTGCCCAAGATGAAATGCCTGCACCTCAGACAGTGCCTACTCTTTCATTTTCAAGTAGAAGAATAAGGCCTTCCCTGGGGTGGCAGTGCCAGCTCCGTCGGGCATTGCTATGCGTCAGGCACTGTGCCACGTCTTTTCTGTTGGCACAACAGTCACTTAGGGCAGTTACTGTTTTTGTGTTCATTTCAAAGGTGCAGAAACTGATGTGCCAATGACATTGACTAACTTACCTAAAGTTTGACATTTAGAGATATTTTTATACAAGGAGATCTCATAAATATATGAAATCTCATAAATATATGTGGTTTGGTATGGTTCAAATGCCTTGCTTCCTGAAGGCAAGGCTGTTGGCAAAATGATTCCTTGGGTTTCTCCCATCCCTGCTGTGATGAAAATGGCTTTGGACACCCTGCCGCTCATGCAGGGGACCTGGCCAAGGGCGCCTTCACCGTCAAGGCTTCATCTCTACTGCACTCCCAGGATTCTAGGAGAGGTGCTAAAGAAAACAGGCTGCTGTAGAGTAGCTGAATTAAATACTGGGCTTGCAACAGTGAGAGTCCCAGAAACTTTGTTGTGGGCTTTGCAGGCTTTTCTAGGGTACATTTGTAATATAATAAATGTAAAGAAGTTACATTTAACATGAGCTCCCAAGATGGCGGCGCTCCGGCGCGAGGCTGGGGCTGACCTGGGAGATAAAGCTGTGGTGCCAGTGGGAGCTGGAGAAGCACCCGAGGACATGGAGATGGCAGCGTACACACGTGGTCAGCACAGTCTTTCTCTAGGAGATGCAAACCTCAGAAGATCAGTGGTCATCGAAATCGTAGAAAAAAATTTGAGTATCTCAGAAAAGAAAAGACTTTAGATATATACGAGACAATGATCATTGGAACAACA